CCCCCCGGCAATGCCGTCCACACGCCTCCATCGACCGGGGCCCTCTGGGACGGTTTTATTTCTGTTGAAATCTGGCCCTGGTCTCCCTCTCCCCATCGTGGGCTTCCCTCTGTGAACATCCCTCGGCTGGTCTCAGCGTTTCAGGACATGCAGAGTACGTGGGGTTCTAAACAACTGGCCGCCCTAACGTGGATATGGTCATGGTGAATAGTTTAAATGAAGGGCTCGTTGCATTTTTCTCTAATTTGCCGTTGGTTGGCATACCGAAACGTGGTTAGACTAGAACAAATAGACAGTCACGTTGACTGATGTGGTGAGGAGTCCAGGGTCCAACTTGTAACTCTCCATTGGCACAAGGGTGAGCGTGGAGAAGACTGATGCTACAGCTGCTAGGATGTCTCCTGATCCTGAGCTCAGTTTGCGAAACACCTTTTACTCATGTGTGCCTGCCTGCATGCGTGTTTTTGCTCCTCTGACCAAGAAGTTACCTGGCTCCATCAGATACATTGAAATGCTAAGCGAGGAGAAAACTCATGCCAAATCCGTCCATGTGTAAAACAGGATTGTGGTCTTTTTGGCAGCAGCAGACCTCCACTGTATTAAACTCTCCCAAAAATATGAAAAAATAGCTTTCATGGCATAAGGGCAGGGAACTTTTCCCTGATGGTTTCTTGATTCTTGGAATGCTGAAGGTAAGCACCTTAGAGAGCTAGGAAGTGTGACTTTGCGTCTGGTGTTAAATAGCTCTCCATTAGCTTTTGTTTATCTAAGGGTTTGGAGAAGGACGGCAGCCAGCCATAGCCATCTGGAAGAACCATCTCACTGTTATGAGATTGGCAAGTTCTGTCATTCCTTCCTCCCCTGCCTTCCAGTACATGAGATTTGACATAAAATCTGAAGTCCTTCATGATGCACAAATGTAAAGGAATTGGCCGCCGATCCGTTGGGTGCTAAGCCTGCTGCATTCCAGCTCTTGCAGGATGTGAGCTCCTTTGCCTGAGCTGTTGAAGGCAGTACAAGGTGCTGACAGAGGACAACAGCTTCGTGTTAACTCCCTGCTCCAAGACTGAGTTGTGGTTTTAGCCCCACTACTTGAAAGAAGTTCCAACTCACAAGACATGTAATAGTGTTTGGACGTTAATATCCTCAAAGGCATTTTTTTTCTTTTCCATAACGGTATTGAAACCGTAGATGTAGATACGTTAACAGGCTGTGTCATGGTCTCTTGGGAAAATGCTCACTTCACTATGTGATGGATTGTGAAGTTTGTATTCACATAGTTGCACTTTGTTGGCAAGCAAGAGATACAGTTATTACTTGAGGTGGAGAACTAGTCAGCAGGACTAAATACAAAATGAAGTTCAGTGAAGTAGCCCATGTGTTACAGAGCAGACTCTACAAACCTTCAGGTAACTATTAGACATGTTGAGTAAGAAGGCCCTCGTTTGTTTAAAGAATAGCTCCCCAAACCAAAATTTCAAGACTGTGCTGTTGTTCAAGTCTTGTCAAGAAGAGACATAAACGGAGTTGGTCCACGTTGGTTTTAATTGTTGCTTTGACAACTAAACTGAGTTGTGCAAAACGTGGCATCAGTCTGTTCCTTTGTTCTTGATTTCTAACTCTGATGTAAAAGTGAATATCTGTGGCTGGGTTATGGATTTGAAAACATCGTCACATCTCAATACTCATCAGCACTGAGTTTGAGAAGACTCCTGTGGTGCCACCTTCTTCCTTCTCTGAAACTCCACCTTTGCGAAGTCCTTTGTCCTTATTGTCAGTTATTGCTATTGGTTTTGGAGAGAGGTCTCTGCCAGGAGAATTTCTTGTGTGTTTTCAAACCAGCTCTTGCTTAGGACCTGATTTATAGAGCAATGTTGCATTTTTACACAGAGGGGATTCCAATGATAAATGCTGACTGAGTTGGATGGGGCAGGCTCTGTAGAATGAGAGCTTCTGTGCAGTAAAGCTCAGTGGTGGTACGGGTTTGGTGGCCAGAGCCCACAAAGGTGCTGCTGAAGTAAAGTCTCCCCTTAGCATTGGCTCAAGAGAAGCCATTCTCTTCATTATTCCCTCTTACTTTTTGCAGCACTGACTCTTAGGACCAAATTTCATTACCTGTAATAATTTGAGGCTACTACTTCCACTTAATGTGCCTTTTTTTTTTTTTCTCTGCCAAAAGGAAAAGTATAATCACATTTGTTGCGAGGGGTGGTGTTGAGCAAGACTTGCTGTATTCTGATTTAATGACATTTGAAGTGTCAAGGAAGGCTGATATGCTCTCTCAGTAAGCAATGTCTGAAGTCTTGCACTCTAGGAAACATCCAGTCCTGAAACTGAATGGAACTGGCAAGTGAGTGAGGATTTGGCTGTAAGCAAGTGTGTATGTTTTTTCCCAGATTTTTCAAACTTGTAAGTATGGCTATAATAAATCAGCTTTCCTAAGGAACCTTTAAAATAACTGTTAACTTCTTGCCTCTGCCTGACAAGCTTGAGTGTAGTTAAACGTGAGAAATACTAAGAACAGAGACACGTTTACAGGCAGCAAGAACATGGTTAGGCATTGATAACACTGAGGGTGCAGCTCAGAGGTAGTCCTTGCTCTCTTTAGTTTGTGTGGATCGAGAGATACCTTTGCATCTAAATAATGCAAGCCGCAGTCAGCAACATGTGCCGATCACATTTGGAAATGGGAGAGAAGACAACACCCCTGTGTGATCATTGCATTGGTGATTTTGGTGCGGTGCAGAGGTGGTTTTTGCAATCTAGCACATTTTGATTCTGCTTGTGTCGCTAATCTCAAGCAGGCACAAAGATTTAAGGGCCACACTCTTTGCCAACCCAGGAAATGAGTCTAGTGCTATGACAATAAATGCCCTGTAAATCGCTTAGGGAGTATGCATATTTCACGAGTTGTGGCATCTACAGGTTGAGCTGGGATTGGGAATGACAATTAGCAGCCAGAACTGGAAGTGCGACCAGTTATGTTAACCTCCCAGTTCTGCTTTCCTAAATGTAAACATTTTTTTCTTGTAAAGAGCTCTTATAGCAGCATTTGTCTAGTGTATATAAAAAATGTCATTTTGGAATCAAAAAGTATTTTTTAATACTGCTTTTGGTTCATGTAGATTTCATTGGTGAGGAATCCCACAATATTTAGGCATAATGGCATAAATTTAAGACTATGCTCCGGACTAATTTTCAGTACTCTTCTAACATGGTTCCTCTGCCCTTTGATGTTTTTTAAGTAATATTTCCCTCTCCCTGCCCTCTTGGTAGAGGCATCTACTTCAGCTGGTTGGAGTGCTTTGCAGGAAATGGTACAAAACAACGGTTCAAAAGGATAAAGAGGTACTTGGAAGCGAGGAAAACTGGCAGTTTGTCTTCAGAAAGCAAGTCAGTGTGAGCAAAGGGAACTTTTTCATTCATGAAGAACATGGAGGATGGTGGCCATCTGCTTTTCAGTATCGTTCTTTTCCTTACTAGTCTTACAAAGAAATTAGCGCAGCTGTCTGCTGTGTTGGACCTCTGGGAGTACAAAGGCTGTGAGATGGGTGTGAGTTGCCTTTTTTCTGTATTGTTCTTCCCTAATGTGCTGGATCTGAGGCTGAGAGAAAAGGAGCGTTTCCTGCATGATGCCATTGGTACTCCCGGGAGCTCAGAAAAGCACAGGACATGCTTGGCATCTCCTGACCAGAGCGTTTTTCACATCAGAAGGGGCCATATGGTGTCTTGGCATCTCTAACCATTGCTTACAGTTAATTACCTGCTTTTGTTTCCATTTCTGCTCTCATGTTGGGGATTGAGTGTTATTGCTTTCTAACAATGTGGGCTATTGCCTGGGAAGAGGCACTTGTGCAGCCATGAAGATATTCCAATTTAAGCAGCTGTTCAGGGCCTCATAGTGGTAAAATAAAGGAGATGTTGTGTGTTTACCTTGCATTTACATCCAGGTGTAAAAAAATGCATGAGATCAAACACACTTTCTTGTGGTCTGCCTTTGTTGCTGAGTTTCATCATGTGCTACGGATATGCAGACACTTCCCTTAAAACCATCAGAGTTGCAAATGGGAGCGAATTGTGCAAGTATGCAGATTCCAGGCATTTGTATCTATTGCAAGAGCTGCTTTTCCCCCACTGTCCTCAGATGTATGCATGGCGATTTTCCCTTAGATCATACTTCCTGGGTGAAATGCTGAGTAGACAGTGACTAACTGTGATACTGTCTCCCTTTCCAGTTAGGACCCAGACGGAAAGAGTAGTTGGGATTATCGTTCTTTTTTAATAACCCAAACTGGTTTTCATTTTGTTTTTTTTCTTGCTGTAATTTATCATATCTGTCCAGCAATCTGTTTCAGTGTCTTAGCAGAGGAAAAGCAAAAGCTATCGTTCCTGGAAAAATGGCATCTTCATGGGCTTCTGGAGGGTGTCATCTGTTTGTTTTGACTCGAGGATTGCCACGCAAACTGAGGCAAAGATCCCTGGCAGATTAGGTGCTGAGTGTCAGCAGAGCAGCAGCACCCAAGTCTGCAGCCCAGGACTTGATTAAGCACTCAGAATTTGTAACCACCCAGGTGATTATCTTTAAAAAACAAAACAACAACAACAACAAAAAAAACTAAAACCAAACCATAAAAACAAACCTCTTGAAACCTGGCTCAGTAAGCCAGGCATGTTTGGCCTCTTGTATTGAAACTGATCTTGCGTGTGCTCCCAGCTTCTGTCTCTTCCCTGTGGTAGTT